ATAGATAGATAGATAGATAGATAGATAGATAGATAGATAGATAGATAGATAGATAGATAGATATAGATTTTTTTTAGTGAGGCAATTGGGGTTGTGACTTGCTCAGAGTCACACAGCTGGGAAGTATTATGTGTTTGATGCCACATTTGAACTCAGGTCCTCCAGACTCCAGGGCCAGTGCTCTATCCACTGTGCCAACAAGCTGCCCCTAAGAAATATTTTTTAAAAGGCTATTGCAGTTGCTGGTATTAGCCCAGTAACACTAATGCTTTCAATAGTGGAAGCATTGGTGATGCTATTATTACTTTGCTTAGTTATTTAAGACTACTAAGAAAAGGAGGAAACATTTAATGATAACAAAATGGAAAGATGAGTCAATTGAGGTGTAGGGGGGTGTAGATATGAGCTACAACTGCTGGCCAACTGTGATTTGCACATGAGATGAGATGTGGCAGTAAAGGTAGCATCAGAGATAGATGTGGCTCAAAAAGGAGGTTAGTCAGCCACCTTTGTGAGAGATGGAGATAACCATAGAGCAGCGCCAGGGCTGAACTGGGAACTCTGACAAATTAAATACCGGAAGAACCAGGGAATGGCCTTAATATACTTATAGGTGCTTAAGGAAGGAAATACATAAGAATCACACAGGACAAGAAGGCCTAGATGGGTTGGAATGGGTGCTTTGTTCTCTGTATATTCCTTGTAGGTATCAAGTTATTTACATGTTGTCTCTCTGATTAGAATGTAAACTCCATGAAGGCCGGAACTGGTTTTTCTAGGACATAGCACATTGCCTGACACATAGTAAGAGCTTAATAAATGCTTGTTGACTGACACCAGCTCAAATGCCAACTCCAATGTGAGGATTTTCTTCGTTCCACTAAAAGGTTAGTATTCCTACCCTTACCCTGAAATTACTTTGTGTATATTTTTTATTCCTTTTCCTGCATCCATGGTGAATCCCTCCTCCACCTAATGGAATGGAGGTTTTGTATCTCAAGCACCTAACATAGTTCTTGAAAGTAGTAGGCAAATCATAAAATCTTTTTGAACAAAATATAATTGAATCCATAAATTATAGATAGATTAAAGAACAAAAATATAATTTTCATCCTTGCGTAAAAAGTTTGATGTACTCTCATGCCTTATTTGATACTCAGAGCAGTTTAATTTTAAGAATTATTTGTTAGAATAATAGATTTCAAGTTGGAAAAGACCTTATAGGGCATCTAGTACAATCCTCTCATCATCATCATCAGATCTCAGTTACTTGTAAACACAATAAGCTTTTACTATTTCTCCCCTTTGTTTTTCTCTCGCTTCTTTTTCGACATGTGCTTTTCCATCTAAATAGGTTCTTGTCAATTCAATAAAACTAGAATTTTCTTAAAGCATCTGTTATTTCATGTACTGTAGTAGGCACTAGGGATGCAAAGACCAACATAAATAATAGTCCCTGACCTCAAGGAGCTTATACTCCATTGGGAGGTGGGAATGGGGGAAAAGTATTATGTACAGAAGTGAAGACAAAATGTTTACAAAATGGATACAAAGTTATTGTGGGGTGGGGGGTAGGAGGAAGCATTCACATTTGGAGTAAATGGGAAAGCTCTCATGCATTCGTAGATATGTCAGCATTTCTGCTGGCCCGAGGAATCTTTATTCCCAAGATCCTGCATCATTGTTCTTTCTTATCCCCTTTCCCATTTAACCAGGTCCCATAAACTCTCTCCTTGCAGCCATGGTTTGGCCTCTTGTTTTTATTTTTCCCCCACAAGTTTCACTTTCAGAAGTCTTTCTCAATGGTATATTAAAAGATCTTGTATATCTAAGCCTCGTCCTTCTTATAACCATCTCCTAGTTAGGGGCAGCCTTATCCACTTCACAACTTTATATTGGCTTCCATGAGAACCTCAAAATGATCCTACAAGCTAGGGAGGTTGTGTGTAGTTTTTTCTCATTTTGAAGACGAAAATACTGAGTCTCAATGAGGTTCTGGAGTTCATCCAAAGCAAACAGCAAGTCTGTCAAGGAGGTGAACTGAGAACCCAGGTCCCCAAAGCTTCATTCGATGATCTTTCCACAATACCATGTGCTGTTGGTGGTCAAGAGGACCATAGCCCCTGAACAGGGGTTTAGGAACTAGATACAGCAAATCAATAATGGGAAATATGTCTTCCCCAAGTTTATAGTCTTTCATTACTTACTCTAGGCAGACGTTTCTGAAATAAAGCAAACCAACGGGGGCTGTTTAAGACCATAGAAATGTCTACCGAGGTTAAATGACTATAAGTTAAAGATAGAGTGGAGAAAGGAAACTTGTAAGCTGGTATCCCCAAATCCTCCCTGCCTGGCAATGCATAATGTCAATAGTCCCTTATTGTCTCCTTTTACTCATCTCTACAACAATTACAATCAGAATAGGGATCAATAGAGACAAGAAGAGGCTAAGGTTTTGTTTTATTTGATGACACAGAAAGGGGAAAGGAGTTCTTCTTCCCAATGGTGAATGGTCCAGAGAAAAGCATCCCCATGTATCTCATCTCAAGTGTGATCTTACATTGGCCTAATCTAGTGATGGAAAGAACCTCAGAGACCATCAAATCTGCCTATGTCATCCCAGAAATTAGGGAACTGAGCCCCAGGGAGGTTAAGTAATTTGCACCAGGTTGAGTTGGATTGAACTAGTAGTGTATCCCTATTTATTAACCAGTGAACAAACTCTAAATGTGGAGAGCACTGCGAAGCATGTACCTTAGACATTCTATCAAAAACTAAAGTCATAATCATGAAACTTAAAGTTGCAAGGGCCTTGGAGATCATCTACTCCAATTCCCATTTTCCAGAGAAGGAAACTGAGGCACAAAGAAAGAAAGTGATTTTTCCAAGAGCACAAAGACAAAAAGGAGGAGATTTGAGATTCAAACTCATGTCCTCTGATTCTAAACTCGTTCTACCATATGGGCTTACTCACATGTCACTATCTAGGGAAGCAACTTCAAGGACACAGAGTGATCATCTCTCTTTAGACCAAATTCAGGTTAAGAAAGTATCTCACAGAAGTGTAGACAGGAGCTTAAGAGGCCCTGATCCATTTATGCTATCCATCCCTGCATAATCCCACATTAGTGAATGGGATTAGATTAGACTATAAGCTTCTTGAGGGAAGGTATTATACATTGTATAATTTTGGGAAATTCATTTAACTTCTCTGGGCCTGATTTTTCTCTCCAGAAAAATTAGAGAGCTGAATTCAATTATTTTTAAGGTCCCTTTTAGCTTTGACATTCTGTGGTTTTGTGCTTGATTTTTTCCCCACTGAATTGATTGGCTGGGGGGGAATCAAACTAAAGAACCATTCATCTTAACATCCTATAAACACATGTTTAGTGTTCATTTCCACCACTTGGCACGTCCAAAACCAACTTTCTAGTTTTAGTATTGTACTCCATTTTGGTAAGAGAGTACTGAAGAGAAGTATAAGGAAAACTTCAGTCACTAAAGTCCACCTGTATCATTGCCTGCCACAATCAACACCAATGTGCAACCTCTCCTAGCTTTCGCTTCTTGGTAAATGGTGTTCATGGGAAGTCATTCCAGCACCATGTCTGATGGGCACCAGAAGAGAAAAGATTGCATCGCAAAAACCCAAAGTGAATTGGAATCACGCCCCAAACCATAGGCTGTATTTATCTATGTCTTTCTTTAGTAACATAGCATTAAGGTAAAAGGTCATCTCCCCACTGAAATATATTTTATATTTACTTTTTTTTAAAAATAATTATGGCATGGCATGAAGTTAAATATTACAGAAGCTAATCAGGAGGGAATTCAATCAAGCAAACCCCGACCTGAGAATTTCGTCTTTGCTATACATAGAATGTCTTAATCCTCCACTGGGAGCCATTCGGGTTTACTTAAGGAGTTTAATAATACACATTTCAACTGCCACAGAATCTAAATCCCATTTGGATCAGCTTTGAAAAACTTTCATCAATACCTTGAGATTTCATAATAATTCTCTCGAGGCCCAGGATCTCACGTGTCATTTCATCTTCAGATTGTGGGTCTGATTATTAGCTTACTTACATACCTTGGGTCTGGCCAAGAGATAGAAACTATAAGATTTATATTTGGGTCATTTTGTTTTTAACCACAACATTTTTTAACTAAAAATATCTAATGGGAACTACCATATCTATAGCTTGTAAAAAAAAATCTGGGCTGGCCCACGTCCAATATTAATTTTTTCAAAAAAGGAAAAACAGACAATTGTTTCTGAAAGAGATGCCATACAAGCCTCTGCCATAGTGATGGACCTAGAATCAGAAGAACTAGGTTTGGATCCCACTTCAAACACCATGTAGTCACATGAAAGTTATGTGGAGTCCTGTTTCCTCATCCGTAACATGGGGTTAATAATACTTGGACCACCTGTTCCACAAAGTTACTGTGAGGAGAATGTTTTGAAAAATGAAAAGCTTTAGAGAAAAGTAGAAGATTATTATATTTAGAGGGGCTTTTGGTGACTATACTGCTAGACGCTAGGGTCTAAGAGAATGCTTGCTTATCGAATTATGTCTATGGCACTTCACCTGTCTCAGCCTCAGTTGTATCATCTGTAAAACTGAAGGTACTGGACTAGACCATTTCAGTCCCTTTCACCTCAGGAAGATGGTGCATCATTTTATGGCCTAAACTCCCCCATCATCATCTCACTAAATATACTTTTTGATCCTATGAATCAATTAATAAAGTAGTTGCTTGCTCTAGCCTGCTAGGGTACTCTGCCTCAGGTAACAGGGAAGTGAATAGAGAATCACAGGAACACAGAAATTAGATAGAGAAAGGAACGTAGAGATCACAGCATCTTAGCAC